AAAACAAACAAAATAAAAGCAAAACCTCAATCATCCCCTCATGGGATGTCCATTCACCTTGACCCTAACAGGGCCACCAAGTCACAACAGCATCCTGGGTGTCTCCACTGTCCTTGCATCCTCTTCCAGGAATGGCACCTACCTGGCCTGTCAGGTGGGGCCTCTGCCAGACCTCTGCTGTTGCAGATCCCCAACCCGCTAGTACCTGGGACTCCAGTTCCATGCAGTGTCCACTTCTGCCAGCCCACCCTGCATCCCAGGGATGTCTGGCTTCCCTTACTGCCCTTGCACTGCTGGTGGCTGCAGAAGGCAGAGTGGCAGGCCTTGCTGGGTGCATCTGAGGGCCCAAGAGCCTTGTGTACAACCCTCATGCAGAGTCAAGAAAGCTCTGGCACCCCTATCTTGCTGTTCTATGCAAGGGCCACACTCAGGGTTTCATGTTGGAGGTTCTCAGATGCCAGGTTTTGAGGTTCATCTCCCCAGCGGCTTGAACCCCTGCCCCTCTTCCCGGGCAGCTCGGTCACATTACTAGCCCAGTGCTGAGCCTAATGTCTAGCACTTAGTCCCAAAGCTTTGGGTCATGAAGTTCCCTTCAAAGCTAGCATTTCAATCAAGCTAACATGGCAGGAGGATTACAAATTCAAACCCAGCCAGGGCAACCTAGTAACTCAGCAAGACTCAGCGTGTGAAGGTATAGGGTTCAATCTTCAATACTGCAAAAAGGAAAAAAAATCTGCCATTTTACAGCCTCCCGTGCCTTTCACACATCTAGTGTCGACCCTTACCTGCCCTGAACTCATCGTCATGATATTTTTTCATTTTTGTCTTTTGAGACGGTCTTTTTTTTTTTTTTTTTTTCTTCCTGTGCTGGGGATTGAACTCACGACCTCGTACTTGCCAGGCAGGTGCTTATGCCACTGAGCTAAATCTCCACCCCCAAAAGCATATTTCATTTTTTTGTCTTTTTGAGACAGGGTCTCAGTACGCAACTCATGCTGACCTTGGGCTCACTTTGTAGCCCAGGCTGGTCTCGAACTTGCCACGATCCACCTGCCTCAGGCCTCCCAAGTGCTGGGATTACAGGAGTGTGCCACCATGCCTGGCCTCGAGACAGTCTTGACAGGTAGCCCAGGCTGGCCTCGGACCCCCAGTGATCCTCTTGCCTTGGCCGCCTGAATGCTGGGGTAACACATGTCAAGGTTCACTGCTGTTAATAAAAGCTGGCTTTGTTTGCCAGCCCAGTTCCATCTTCCCTCGACTAATCATACAAGAAAACCTCCGTCATCTTCCTGTCACTCCATGCCAGTGACTGTCACCATCACTCACAGTGGTGTCCCTAGCTGCCATGAGGACAGGCAGTTACCTAATTTCATAATCCTGGCCTGTGTGTCTTCTCTCCCTGGTCCCCTCTGGGACCTGCAGCGAGGTGAGGTTCGGGGGTGGGGCGTTCTGTGTCAGCAGTGCCTCAGCAGAGAGACTGGGAGGAAGCTGAGGTCAAGAGACCCTGGTGTGGCATCAAGGGATGTTGGGTCCAAGGTGCATCATAGATTTTCCTCTCAAAGCTGGCTGACACCATTTGCATTTATTGATGTAACGTGATGAATGAGAGCTCGTCCTCATGGCGTTGCATTTTATGTCATTCTTTCTCTCTCAAGCACTTCCTTTGTTTGTGTCTTTTGTGCTCTGGTGTGTATGGTGTTTTCTTCAGGCTAGTTCACTGTGTCAGTGGCAATTTAGCGCACTCTTTCTTCTGGAGCCACCAGGCCTTGTCAGGACGAGGCAGGTCAGATAAGTTAAGATGTGATCTGATGGGTAAAACAGAAGATTACACACACAGAAGCACACCCCTTGTTTGTTTTACTGGGGTTTTGTGATTTTTGTTTTTTGAAAAACAGGATCTTGCTATGTAATTCTTCCTGCCTCAAATTCATCATGTGGCACAGGCTGGCCTTGAACTTGAGACCATCCTCCTGCCTCAGCCTCCTAGTGCTGGGATTTTAAATGTGCATCACCAAGCCTGACTGTTTTACTATTTTATTTGTGACCTAAATAGGAATCCTGATAACACCTATCTTGAGAGAGAAAGAGAGAGAGAGAGAGAGAGAGAGAGAGAGAGAGAGAGAGAGAAAAGACAGAGAGAAAAAGAGAGGCTGCGGCAGGCAGACAGGAAAAGAGCCAGAGATGGATATGCCCTGAGAATTTTGATTTTAACTTGGGTTAACGAGAAACAAATCCTTCACTTACAAGTTTACCTGTTTGATGCCTAGCTGGCTTCTTAGTTTTTACACCTTGGTTCCCTCTGTGACCTGTGGCATCTCGGTGCCAGGTCCAGAAGAGCACATTTCCACTCCCATATTCTGCCTTGCCCTTCATGGCACCCACTTGTGCCCTGCACCAAAGTGTCCCCAAGCCAAGATAGTCAGCAACACCTCACTCAGTCCAGGCAGAATGGACTGTGAACCACGTACGCCCGTCCTTCTACCTCAAGTTGAATGCTTCCCACGTCAGTCTCCCTCACCTCTGAGCTCGTCCTCATCCCCGACAGGCAGAGGAGCACTGTGGACAAAAACCACACAGGGGTCTCAACTGATTGAAGTGAAATTGCCTTAGCTATAAAAATCTCACAAAGACATGGCCCAAGCTAACATATCGTGGGATCCATCACTCGCTGCTGTCCTCTGGTGGCCCATGGGGCAGAGGAGCCCAAAGCTGAAGCTTCTATTGCTCAAAGTCTGCTTCTGTAAATGACAATATTTAAAAAACTACAACAAAAAACTATAGCCAGGCCTATGGCACATGCCCATAGTTTCAGCTATATGGGAGGCTGAGGCAGGAGGACTGCAAGTTTGAAGCTGGCCTGGACTTCATAGACACTGTTTCAAAGTGAAAAGTAGAAAGGGTTGGAGATACAGTTTATGCTAAAATGCCCCTGACTTCAGGACCCAGTTCTGAAAAAAAGAAAATTGTAAAAAACAAACAAACAAACAGGCAAGTTGGCTATATAATTCAAATAGTAAGTGGTATGAGTTTAAAATGATTTTAGGGCTGGATTTAGTTCAGTCAATACTCGTCTAAATCAAGGTCCTGGGTTTGAACCTCGGTGCCACAAACAAAATAACCCTCCCCCCAAAGCCTTGGTACTGTCTTCAGGTGTACCTCATGCTTTATAATATAACAGACATTAATAAATGCAAACGAGGTATAAGAAAGCTCAACAATATTCTGAATTTCTCCTCCTACAATGACTGGCTTTATTAGGAATTAAATATTAAACTTAAAAATACTTTTTTCTTAAATCAGGCATGGTGGCACATGCCTATAACACTGACATTCTGGAGGCCAAGGCAGGCGGATCATCTTGGGTTTGGGGCCAGCCTGGGCTACACAGTGAAACTCTGTCTCAAAAAGAAAAATAGGGCTGGAGATGTGGCTCAGTGATAGAGTTTCTGCTTTGCATGCACAAGATCCCGGATTGGATCCCCAGCACCACACACACACACACACACACACACACACACATATATATGGAAAAGAAAAATAATTTTTTTTCTTGTTCCAGTTCTCTGTCTTGATGGTGTCTGGTCCTCAGGTTATGCTGAGGGTGTGCAGTTGCAGAGCCCAAAAAGTTGGAGATAACCCTTTCCTCAGGGATGATTTAGGATAGTCTGAGTAATGGAACTTCCCACAAGGATGAAACTGTTCTGCCCCTTTGCTGTCATCCAAAATGGTGGCCTCCAACTGCAGATGGCATCACTTGGCACATGGCCAGTGAGACTGAGCCACTGAATTTTAATTTTATTTTGCTTTCATTACTTTAAAAAATCTTCTTTTGGTGCAGCGAGTCAACCTCAGGGTCTTTGAGCATGCAATCCCCAGGGCCACACTCCCAACTCATATTAATTAAAACTAAAATAGACACCTATGCCCAGTAGTACCATAGAGGGCAGCACAAACTCCCCACCCATAAAAACGTTTTAATTTCTTCTATAAGCAGAAGAAAAAAATTAGGCTGAACAAAATGTTTTAATATGCAACATTAATACATTCATCTTTACACCAACACAGTGGTAAAACATAAATTTAAAAAATTGTTGCCAAGCGTGGTGGCACATGACCGAACACTTGGGTGGCTGAGACAGGAGGATTGCTCTAAATTCAAAGCTAGTCTGAACTACATGGAAAGACCCTGTCTCAAAAAACAAAACAAAATACACAAAACCCCAAAACAAACCACACACACACACACACACAATTTGTTAATTGGGGAATGAGCTCTTGAAAACGAAAGTGCCAAGAACACAGGAAAGTCGCAGACGGTGTGTACGTGTGTAAATGTGTGCGCGCGCCAGTGCGAGCAAGGGTGTTTCTTCCAACCATGATCGTTCACTAGGACTCCCAGATGTTCAACCTCCAGACTGCACACCTGGCCTCCCCGTGGGAGCGAGCCTTCCTGTCCCAATCCTGGCACGAAGAGCCCAACTAAAGAACCAGGACTTTCCTTCCACCGCCAAGCCCGAGCTTGCAGAATGCACCTGTGTGTGTGTGTGTGTGTGTGTGTGTGTGTGTGTGTGTGTGTGAGCGCGCGCATGTGGGAGAACCTGGGTAGTTGTGTGGGAAGAGGGCAGAGAGCAGCTGTGCCTGGAGTGGGGAGCTTAGGCATTTTTAGACGCCCTGCCTCTGACTCCATTTTCCGGGGACAAAGTGGGGGTTCGGCACGTGCAGACCCCACACAGCAGGCCTCGGAGGAGCGCACTGCTGACCATGCACCCCATCCACCCCAAAGGCTGATCCCCAGTCCCACTGCTGCTCCCGGAAAGGCTCCTCCCAGAGGTGATCCCAGGAAAGATCTTCGGGCTCCTCGGGCCTCAATTTCCTCTTTGCGTGTGCAGGAGTTTCCCTCTAGCTGACCGGGAAGGAGAGGAGGACAGAAGGGCTTGGCCTGCTCGCCTGTGCCCAGTCTCGGTCCCTCCTCCGCCGTGCTCCGCACCGGACTCGGCCCCTTTAAGCCCCACCCCCACCCCGGGAGCGCCGGTCACGCCCTTCCGGGATCGGGATCGGGATCGGGATCGGGATCGGGATCGGGATCGGGATCGGGATCCGGATCGTTGCCGGGAAGCTCGGGCCCCGCGCCTGCGACCTGGAGCATGAGCCGCATCTACCAGGACGGCGCGCTCGCGAACAAGGCGGTGCGCTGTGAGCGGCTGCCCGGGGCCTGGGACCCCGCCGCGCACCAGGGGTAGGTGAGCCGCGCTGGCCCCGGGGTGGGGACCCAGAGGGGTCGGGGTGGGCATGGGGGCTGCCGAGGCCGCCCCCGAGTACAGGCCGCAGCCACGAGGTGCTCCGAGCCCCACCAGCTCTCGTTGCTGGGCTTGCTGCTGTGCCCCGGGGCCTTGGCGCAGAGGCTGGAGGTGGGAGGTGTGTGCGGAAGCTCCGGGGTGGGGAGAATTCCATTTACAATCACTGACGCTGCAGAACCGTGCTGGTGATCCTCGCCCAGTCAGGAGGATTGCAAATTTGAGCCCAGGCAGGGCAATGTAGTGATTTAGCAAAGACCCTGTCTCAAATTAGCATAAATAAGTAAATAAAAAGGGTTGGGGTGCAACTCAGCGTAAAGATTTGGGTTCCCAGTACAGCAAACAAAACAAAACAACGCTAAGAGAAGTAAACCAGACTCAAGAAAAACACTATAGGAGCTCACTTGTGGGATGGGAAAAACATGAAACTGAGAAGCAGAGAGTGACCTGTGGTCCTCAGAAGTAGGGGCTGGGCAGGGAAAAGTGACCAAAGAGGTGGACTGAGGTGCAACGTGGACAGGTTCTGGGCTGTAGGGTCCAGCCTGGGTGGCAGCGACCTGCTAAATTGTTCAGCTTTTAACATTGCAGTCCTCACACAATTTAGAGGTTAGCAGGCTGGGCCCCTCAAGTGTATACCATCTTTATCAGTTAAGTAGTTTTAAAAAGAAAATTCAGGTCGGCCAGTATAGAGGCAAATAAAATAGGTGAGCTTTCACTTCTGCTCCCCACCTCCTCCACTGTCATCTTCTGCTGTCTCCACCCCTGTCGCATTTCTGGGGTTCCCAGAAAGGAAATTCTCAGGTTTGCTTTTTGAAAACTAAAACTGGGAAGTGGCTCCCCTGGCCAAGTCTCTCTCACTGCGGGGTTCTGTGGTCTTGGGCTACCCAAACATCTGAGTCACAAGTTCTCCATCTGTAAGTGACAGTGGTCATTTTCTTGGGTTATGACTTGCTAAAAAGAATGGGAACGGGAATATGAATATTTTTAAATAATTGAAAAGGGAAGATAATTTATAGCAGCTCAGGGACACGCTCCCAACTTACTTAAATTAAAAAAAAATTATTTGTATTTAGTAAGTACTTCATAGTTTACAAACCACCCTTGCATGCCGAAAGGAGGCTTCTTTTCTCCCCATTTTGTGGTTAAGACAGTGACTTTGGTCATGGTGACTCAGTATCCCTGAAGCAGGGGCCATAGCAGGGTCTGACAGCTTAACAAGCTTGCCCTGTCCTTTGGTCAGTGTCCAGCCTTTGGGACTCTTAGGGGGACAGAGACTCAGTGGAGGAGGCAGAGAGAGGTGCCACTCAGTACCAGGCCTCGTGGGGGCCAGGGGACTAGGAGACTCTTGAATGAGATCTGCTTTGTCCCAGTGCAGGCTTTGACCTGAGCCACTGACCTTCAAGGGTGGCTCTTTCCTGTGTCCTCACGGAACCAGTGTCCCTCTGTGCCTCTCGTCCCCAGGGGAAATGGCGTCCTGGTAGAGGGAGAGCTTGCAGATGTGTCTCGGCACAGCATCGTGGATGCCAATGACAAGAAGGTCAGTTTGCAGCCTTGGCAGTGGTGTTTATAGGGCCCATCAAGTTGTCTCAGCCCGTCAAGGTGTTCCAGCCTCATCCACCAGGCCTCGCCTTGTGCCAGGCTCTGCCAGTGCCCAGACGTGGATCCCATCTCTCTTTAAGGGGCTCCGAGGGAAGGTGGAAAGTGGGTCACACCAGGATGAGCAAGTGAGGAGGGGACAGGGGCCATGCTAAGCAGCAGACATGGGGGAGGGCCTGGTTCACAGCTGAGAAGACCGGGCACTGCACCCAGCCTGGCCTGAGTGTGCAATCTGCCCTGCTGGCCCCACCTGGGCCTTCAGTCCCCATGTCAATGTCCCTTTTGTCCTGGGGTTATACTCTTTATCACAGCTGTCTGTGGACAGGCCTGGCACTCCTCATCCTGCACTGGTCAGCCTGTCTCTCTGAGCACTATCTCACTGGTCTCTGTGATTCAGCTCATGCAAATGTCCTCTTGAGGGGACAGAGGTCTGATGTTGCACAGACCCTGGATTTCTGTCCTGCCCGCTATGAAAACAGCTTTTCCTCCAAGCTCCTAGACTTTTGTAGCCCACCCTTCCCTCCTTACACACCTACCACCAAGTAGACACACCCATCTAGTTTGTCTGGAAGAACCTGGTGGCATCCTCATGCTAACGAGGAGCTGGCCAGCCGCAGCTGCCCTCACACAAGTGGGGCCCCTGCCCAGCCCCTCTCCTGACCCCTCTGATCCCTTCCTTCCTGACAACAGTATGGTACCCACCCAGCAACCAGCCTCAAGCCCCGCTGCCCTTCTGTCCCCGGTAGGCAGTGCCAGGTGGGTCCTGATAAAACCCTCACAGCCGCTCCCGGAGCTCATCCGTGACCTGCGCTTGCTTGGTTCCAGAAAGATATCACCAAGGGTCTCACTGCTGTCCCCACGCTTTTCAGGATTCTTTCTTGCCCACCAGATAAGCCCAAATTCCAAATGCCAGCTCAGCATCTCACTTGCCTTCCCAGCCTGGGATCCCACGTAGCTGCCCAGCATCCCAAGTAGCTTCCACATGCACAGGGGCTTGTGGTGCTGAACCTGGCTTTTCTGTGTCCTCTTATACCTTGTTCCCACACTTGCGGATCTCTGCGCCCTCTGGGCCCTGACCCTCCTTCCCCTGGAAGCAGTCCTTGCTTCTTCAGTGGGAGCTGCTTTTACACCTCCTCATAGCAGAGCAGCCCGCAATAGGGGTTAAGAGATACTTCCTGTTTCACACAGTGTGTGCTCCTCAGCATGGCCCTGGACCCACAACATTCCCAAAAGGGGATCCCCTTGTTCCCAGCCAGGGGACTCTGAGGCTCAAGAGGCTGGGAATGATTTGCCCTGCTCCATCAGTACCCTTCCTGTGACACCTGGGCAGTGCCCACTGTCTCTGGATGTGTGGGAGACTCGGGGCCCATTCCTGGGCCTTCCCTGGTCCTAGACTCCTGGCATAGTGGCTGCAGCTGGGGTGACCAGTGCTCCAGTGACATATGAATGAACATGTGTGTGAATGGGGCATCTGGCCTCTGAACTTGCCTTAGGAGCCAAGGTGGGATTCTGGGCAGGGTGTAAGGTTGTGAGCCACCGTGTGTGTGCATATGCATGTGTGTGCACGTCTGTCTGTGTCAGGGCTGGGTGGCAGTGAAGCAGCCCCTCATCGTGTCTCTGCCCACCCAGGAGCGCTACTATGTGCTGTATATACAGCCCAGCCGCATCCACCGCCGAAGGTTCGACCCCAAGGGGAAGGAAACCGAGCCCAACTTCAGTGCCTCCAGGAAGGTGAACACGGGCTTCCTCATGTCATCCTACAGTAGGTACCCCTGGCCTCCCTCCCTCCCTCAGCGGTGCTGCCTCTTGGGCTTTTTGGCCCCCAAAAGTGACTTCTGGGCATGATTGGCCTTGATGCTGGTGTCTGGGCTCCTTCCTGCCCCCCACACTTGAGCCAGGGGACCTTTAGGTCTTCCTTGGCCCCAAGGCTGAATTCACCTTTTCCACTCTTTTGATTTGCTGAATTCTCCCCAGACTTGGCTTTGGACCTTTTGTTTGTTTGATTCTTGAGACAGAATCTTGTGATGCAGTCCAGGCTCACCTCAAACTCGCAGTAGTCCTCCTGCCTCAGCCTCCCAAGTGCCGCGATCATAGGCATGTACCACCATATCAGGCTGACTTTGGCTTTAACTGCTTTGTGCAGGATCTGGGCATACTGTCGCATTGGTGATTAAGTGTCAGCCTATGAATGGTATGTGGAGGAGACAGTACACGTAGACCGTAGCAAGCCCTGCACCACCTCATTCCTCTTCCGGTTTGGCTGCCGAGCAGTCTCTGTGCTGTCTGCCATGTGTGTGAAGGGTTAGACTGAGTGAGGAGCTGTGTTTCAGTCAATCCTGCTTTCAGTTGGTCTGTTATTTCTGGAACCCTCGGTGAATCTGGGTCATAGGCTAGGCCCATGCCTGTGCTGAGGGTACTGCACTGGACATGTCCTCCGGCTAGTAGAGGAGGGGATAGGTCTGGGACTATAGCCTGCTGGGCTCTGTCCCAGCAAGGGCATCCTGGAGCAGGAAGCACAGCACTTACTCCCAAGCCCGGAGCTGGGACCTGCTGTGTTCGAGGGCTGGGAAGCGTATTTCAGAGAGGAAGAATGTACCGAGGGCATAGGGCCTGGACTCGGTGACAGGAAGCTATACAAGGCAGAGCAGGGGCACTTAACAGGGCTTGGAGCCAGAGGAGCAGGTTTGGGGAGAAGAGCTCTGGTCCTTCCCCTGGGGAACCTGGAGGTAAAGTTCTGGGAGAGGGCTGGCCCGGCAGGACACATGGCATCAGCAGCAGCAGCAGAGGGAAAGGTATGGAAGTGGGCGGGGTCATCTGGAGGAGGCAGGACCATGAGGTAGACAGGCTTCAAAGTGTCACAGGAGCAGGAGCCGCTGGACAGGTCCAAGGGAGGAAGGTGCAGGGTGCAGTAGAGTGAGCAGCTGGCACTGCCCACGGCTCGGGAAGCTCTGGACTGTGGACGTCAGAGGGGCCCAGTGACCAACTGCCTGGAAGATGCTGGGGGCGGTGGCAGGGTGGGGAGCTGTGGGTGCTAAAGCCAGGATACAGGAAGGAGCGGAGGAAAGATCAAGGAGTGGGGAGCCAGAGACAGGTTCCCAAACGACAGCACCGTCAATGTGTCTGTGTAGGGTCCTAGAGCCCAGGTGGAGGACAGGTCTGCGGCAGGAGGAAGGACATTCTGTCCTTTGAGACAGGAGAGGAGGGAAGGTTTCATGAAGGCAAAGTCGGCAGCTTCTGTTACCTTGCTCAGCAGTGGAGAGGGCTTGTTGACCGTTGGTCAGGCAGAGAGGGTGGAGGGGTCCTGTGTGGACAGGTCAGGTGCCTGGGGGATCCCACAGTGTGTTCCTACCCACCGGGACCTCCTCGGCTATAGAGAACCCTTTCTCATCCTCGTTGTGGTCCAGGAAGGTTTAGGAAAGTTTAGGAAGGTAATCCTAAGGAAAAGTTGTTGAAATTCTAATCAGTTAATTCCAGTCGACCCCTTTCAGAGCAACACTCAGCAAGAAGATTCTGAGACCTATATATATATATTTATATATAGGCATGGTCCAGCCAAAATGGTGGTTCTCCAGAACCAAGGCCTCGCCCAAAGCCCAACCTGGGTTTATTAATTCTCCATGAGGGGCGTGGCTCCAGGGTGAGCCACAGTGAGAGTGGCGGGAAATCCGTGACTGCCATGAGTTGGGCTAGGTGGGTCTGAGATCACCTCTTCCATAAGCAGAGGGCAAGGAATGCAGAGAGAGCGATCTGCATAACACAGCTGAGGCAGGAGCTAATAATTAGAGGCCAGTGCGTCAGGTCTGATGTGCAACCCTTTTCCCCTGGGAAGTCACAGCCTCTTTCTTGAGGCTTGGTCCCAGCTGACAGCGTGGAGCACGGCTCTCCATCCTGCCCAGCTCAACCAGGTATTTGGGGAGTCACTGGGCGGGATAACACTGACCTGTCTCTTTGCCTTAGAGATTAAAAAATCATCTACTCAGCCACCCAATTTACATTGCTTAAAGCCAATTGAAGGGACAAAGAAGTGTCCTAGCCAGCTCTGTACCTATCAATACATGGAGATAGGGCCAAGTTTATCCAAAATGGAGAGAGTAGCTCCTCTTTATAAGGAGTCAAGGAGAGTTGTCTGTGCGGTTTACTCTGCAGGGCGTAGTTGATTGGCTTGGGGAGAAAGAGCACCTGTGGGGCAAGCTCTGGGGTCACCATGCTGGGAGTGGCCGTGCACACCCTCCTGCGAGTCCTTGTGAGGTGAAGAATTTGGTTTTCTCCCTGAGGGCAGGCCAGCAGTGAGTGTGGGGCCCACAACTTTGCTGCTGGTTACAGCAAAGCCTGCTTGTGTCAGGGAGATGCTGAGAGCCTTGAGAAACCCTGCCTGGCCCTGGTGATCTCTGTGGGAGGGCAGAATTATATGCTGGTTGTTTGAATCTTGCTTTCTCCTTTGTATGTGACCTTGAGTCAATTACTTAGCTCCTTTCAGCCTTGGTTTTCTCATCTATAAAAGGGGAACAGTAAAAGCATGTCAATACTCTTGTGTGCCAGAGACTGTGCCAGGTGCTTTCATGCTTTATTTCCTTGAAACCTGCACTGCAGAGTTCCAGGTACCAAGTCCTGCCCTACAGGTGGCTGTGAGCACGTGACACTCAGCCCTACCTATCTCCTATAGCACCCCAGAAAAGTGCTTGCCATCCCAGCAGTTATGGCCCCGTGCTTTGTCTGCAGAAGTGGAAGCCAAGGGGGACAGCGACCTGCTCACACCTGAGGCGCTGAAGGGGCTGGTGAATAAGCCCGAGCTACTGCAGCTGACCGAGAGCCTCACGCCCGCCCAAACAGTGGCCTTCTGGATACCTGAGGCAGAGATGGAGGTGATGGAGCTTGAGCTGGGGGCCCGGGTACGGCTGAAAACATTAGGTGACAGCCCCTTCATAGGTAAGCAGCGTGGCCTCATACGGGCCTGATGTCCCCTGCCTGCGTGCTTAGCTCCCATGGACCCAGAGTGGCCCCTTGAGCTTGATTCCTAAGTCCCTGACAAGTGGCCTAGGGACATTAGCCTGGACACTGCAGGGTGTCTCCCATTCCTAGGTTCTTGGGATGTCCTGGTGTCTAATCTCTTGGGGGGTTCCCCTGGGGCCTCACTGACTGTACCTAAGCCTAGGCAAACACACCAGAACAGCCTCCACTAGTCTGCCACAGGGATCGGGGACATTTGGCTTATCTTTTTTTCAGATTCATTAGCCAAACTGGAGGCTGGAACAGTGACCAAGTGTAATTTTGCTGGTGACAGAAAGACAGGAGCATCCTGGACAGACAACATCATGGCCCAAAAGTCTTCACAGGGAGCCAAAATGGAGACTCGAGAGCAAGGAGATGGAGCAGAGGATGAGGAGTGGGTGCGGAAAGGGCCCGCTGTGTGTGTGGCAGGCCTGGGGGAGTTTTCTCTGCTGGGAGTTTTACACATACGGTTGTGCATGGTGGTAGGATGAGGGACAGCTCTCAGTTGATCTGGAGCCATTTGTGGCCATTTTTCTGAAGAATATTTCACCCAAATATTTAAATTGATGTCGAGGCCTCAAATGGAATATTTACAGCAGAGAAGTCACCAAAAATGGGTTTTTCATCTTCATGATGCAGATGATGACTTTGGTCAGAGACTGGGGGCAGGAAGTGAGGAATTTGTCCCTTATGGAAAACCAGGGAGCTGCCAGTTTGGCTCCAGGTCAGCTGTAATGGTGTGCAGCCAGAATAGGTACCCAGGGCCCCACCAGTACCCTGTGATTGAACCTGTTTGTCCAATCACACAGGAAACCTCTGTGTATTACACCATGTCACCCTCGTCACCCTGCTCCTTTGTGTTTCTCTAGGACGATTGACGTCGTGGGCTGTCATGTGTGCCTCTGGGCTGCTGCCTCTTGTGTAGCCACCTTGAAAATTTCCCCCACCAACTTTCACCCTGGAGCTAGACACAGCCTGCAGGAAAGTCTAACCACCCTGAATCCCCATTAACTGACCTCAGCTGACATCAGATCCAAGACCACAACACTGGCCAAGAGACCCTGGGCTCTGGCTTGTGGGGCAGGGGAGTCCTCTTTGGGCGCAAGTCTTAGCCTCCCTGGACATTTTTACTGGGCCGTTGGAGAAGAACTGGGATTGGTGCAGATTCGGGGTAACCCTTAACTAAATGCAGAGGGTTTCTTCTTGCCCCTCTCTCCTTCCCCACTCAGACCCTTCCTAGCCCTGTGTGGCACCGTCTGCTTTGTGCCTTGGCCTCTCCTCTTCCTTATCTGCTGCCCATGGTACCAGTTCTGCTGAGCCGTGTCCCCCTGGGGTCCTGTCTCTGCTCTCTCCGGCTATTGCCCAGCTGGTCCCAGGTAGGTCTTTTCTGTCACCTCCATTGTTGTTGTTTTATACTTTGAGAACTTTTTATGAATGATTACATCTTCAGGAAAAAATTCCTCCACAGAGACTGGGTGCTGGTCAGTGCTAACCATTCCCCCCGGCTGAGAATCGTATTTGGCTTTGGCTGTGAATGCTGCCTCGTTGGGGGGTGGGCCCACACCCCTGATGCTCCTTGGAGGTTGAAATCTGCACACCTTTGGCTTGTGGATCCTGCCTGATCTGGGGGCAAGGGATGATCACAATGAACTAGTAATGACTGAGTCCCCCTCATGTGTCTAACACAGTGCCAGGTACTTTCCACAGGTATTACAGACACTGACAACTGAGTTCTTCTGGGTGCTGTCGTCATGCTAAGGACTTCATTCACTGTCTTTACTTAAGCATCACAACAATCCTGTGGTTATTACATGGTTTTCCATGTGAATCTAAAGATGCAGGCTCCACAGAATTTAAGCCCACACGGATTTCAAAGCCTGCATTTTTTACTACTGTACCATTCTGTTTCCATGCACATTACCAAGAGAAAAGGGCTCCGAGAGGCGAAACAGCCAGCAGGGTGAGATTCAGAACCAGGACTCAAATCCAGAGCTGTCAGAGGCACAGCTTCTGCGTCTCTGCTGTCCTCTGCTTTCTTTGTCCACCGAAAGGTCTCAGACAGAGGAGACAGAGGATGTGGGGACCTGGCGACCTGGCGTCCTGTGTCTCAGTGGGGTGGCTTATAGGCAGGTTATGCTGGAACCTTGGCCTTGGGGTGGTGAGGGAGGCAGGTGACCAGGAGGGGACCTAGGGACTTTGGTGTAGAGGTGCTGAGAGTGGGCATCCTGCTGTCCAAATACTCAGGCCAAGGGGCATGGTAAACTGAGGTGCAGGCCACCATTCCAAACAGGGAAGCCCACTCAGGGCTGGGGGTGTGGCATCCTGGGATAAGGAGAAGGGCTTGGGGTTTTAGGCTTCAGGAAGGGAACAGACATTCAGCTGGAGCGTGGAGGAGGGTGGGGAGTGTTTGAGAGGAGATGACAAGTTGGGCTTGACACCTTCAGGCCTGGTTAGGCTTCAGGAAGCTAGCGGCCTGGTAGGGAGGGTAGTGTCTGACTGGCCTCTTTTAGAGCTCACTGGACACGAGAGAACAGGAGGCAGTGAGCTCACGGAGAAACCACTGCAGTTATCCAGGGGATTGGCGATGGGAGGTGGGGAGAGAAAAATAGGAGAGGGGAACCAGTCAACAACACTGTCCAGATTTGGTGAAGGAAGGGGCCAAGGCTTGAAGGTTCTAGGCAACCAGCCCGTTTTCCAGAAGCCTGGTCTGGGGCAGAAGTGGAGGGAACAGCAGGGCTCCATGCTAGCAGGTAGGGAAACTGAGGCAAATCTTCTTCCCTAGGACAAGGACAGGAGAGCTGGACAGCTGCTGTGGCTCAGAGGTTGTGTGGGGACTTGGGACTCACCCTGGCACTGTAGACAGGAATAAAAAAGCCCATAATTTTATTCATAATTTTTGATATTCTGGCTTTTAAATATGCCTACACACAAAATCAGATATTACTTCTCCATTTCATGTTAATCACTTCATACTGCTATTGTCTTCATGACCACCTTTCTGTGTGTGGTACTGGGGGTGGAACACACCGCCTTGTGCAGGCAAGACCATCCTCTTAACACAGCCACGGTCTTTTGATTCAGGGTCTTGCTAAATTGCTTAGAACTTGGGAGCCCCCTACCTCAGCCTCTTGTGTAGCTGGGATTTACAGGCATCCCACCACCATGAATGAGCTCATACCGGTTGTTTTTTTTAAAGGATGTTTATGATTTTTGATCTGTATTCTCTCCCTTTTTTTTTTTTTTTGGTCTTTTTCTTTTTTATCTGTACCAGGGATTGAACTCACGACTGCCTGCAAGGCAGGCACTTATGCCGCTGAGCTAAATCCCCAGCCCCTCTCCCCCATTTTTTATTAGTACCTGTTTGCGGTACACGATGCTCACACTCCCAGTGTGGAGTCAGTGCACATACACGGCACATCTTCATTCCTTTTCCATCCTCTGTCCTTTCCTCCCTTCTTCCCTCTCTTGTCCCTTTCTCCTTTGAGAAAATCTACTTCCTTACTTCCTATTATCCATCCATCACTTTAAGGCTGAATAGTTCTATTGTGGTCCAATGTTTGGGGATTTAAATTAGTATAACTTTCAAAAAATGCTGAGAATGCTATGATCCCTTCAACCCGCTTGTCCTCAACCACACACTGTATTTTTCCATTATTTAGGGATAGATTCTCAGGAGTCAGATTACTGGAATCCAGGAATCTTGTACAATTCTTGTTGGAATATGTACATGTAACCACTCCCCAAGATGATTATAAACTGCGTGAGCTGCAAATGTACTAATGAAATTAAAAATTAAAAAACATTCTTGTATTGCCAAATAGCTTCCCCGAAGGGTTGTTTTAAGTTATAATTTTACCAGCACTGTAAGAGAGAACCATTTTCATGCCACTTTCTCCAGAATTAGATAAATCAAAACATTTTTTAAAAATTATATTTTATAAAGTGAAAGTACTTTAATATATTTTAATTTGCTTTCTCCCCAATTTAGAGTGACTTTAAGCTTTTTTTAATTTCCTGTTTCTATTTCTCCTGTTGCTTCTTTGCATGTTTATCTACTGGGGGTCTTATTTTTTTGGTTTTTCAGTTTATCTTTTAAATGTGACCATTTGCCATATTTTAACAACTATTTTTTCATTAAAAGGTTTTTTTTTTACAAAATTAAAATCGTAGTATAGATACAGCTGTTGACGTGATTTTTTTATTGCCTCCAAGATAATACTCATTTTCTTCAGATATTCAATCTCATTTTCTTCTTTTGTTAGTATTTGATGTTATACTTCTTTATTCTACTAGCTCTTTAATGTATGGCAAGGTATCGAGTGAGATAAGAACTGCTTATTTTCAAATTGTTAACCAGTTATCTTGACAGTATTTACCTGATTGCTTCCCAGTGTAAAATTATGTCTCTTACATCACATATTAAAATTATTTTGACAAAAGTATTATATTTGTTATGTCTCCCTTTAGTTACAATTCAAACTATCAAAATGAATAAAAAATAAAACAATTTAAACAAATAAAAATCGTAGATTTTATTAGTTGATTGGACTGGTTCCTTGTGTCTTGTCACTGTTTTAGCATTGTTTTTCATATTCTTATATATTGGAACTTTTTTCTCAATTTTCAGTGCAATTACCTTTTAGATTTTTACTTTTAAAAACTAGCTACATGGGCCAGGGATTTAGTTCAGCAGGCATAAGTGCCTGCCTGGCAAGCACTAGGTTGTGAGTTGGATCCCTGGTACCAAAAAACGAACACACACACAAACCCTACCTACAAAAGCAATATTTATATATTGGAGAAAAATCTGTAATTCCATCACACAAAGATGTTTTAAAATCATATATGTAGTACTCGGTTATGTCCCTGGCACTGCACCAAGTGCTTAAAAGTACTGACGCCTTTTGTGATTATAGCAAATGCCTGGGGTGCTAGGATCCTTTTCCAGTTTTGCAGTTAAGGAAACTAGTATTATGGCTGTTCTGCGGCTGAGGATACTTACCCCAGAAGCGCAAGCCATGAGCAGAGCCAGAATCAAGGCAGTGTGGTTCCAGTGAGCTAAACAAACACCCCGACGCTGCTAGTTGCTGTTCCATCAAATGCCCGTGTCACATTTTAGTGCATTTATTTTCAATGCAGACAAAGTGCATTGTCCCCATACATACTTTATGCTCCTAACAGATAGCTCAGGAAGATTCCCCTGGATCATCATAAATCCTTGACGGCATGGTTTTGAGTAACTTTTGAGTTTCTCACATGCATGTAGACAAAGCATTTAACCATCTTCTCATTTTGGGATAACTTACTGCTTCCCATTTCCCCCTGCTGAAAAACACAGAGATGTACAATCTAGAGTCTAACCCTTTTCGTACACCACAATCGTTTTGTTAAAACCCCTAGCACTGTAAACCCGATCTGCCGTTACGGGTCACCGTCTAGGGCAGTTCTGCACCGCGCAGCAGTGCGCTGCGTAGCTCTGCACAGCTCCAGCGCGCCCGCACTGGGTCGGAGAGAGCGCTGGACCAAGAGCGTTTCCAGTTTGGCATCGCCCGTACCTTTGAATGGGCTTGCATTAAGGATCCCCTAAATGCGCCTGGATTCTAGGGCCAGCGGTCGGTCTGGGTGAGGGGCACACAACCGGATCTGGGCCTGAGCAGGATGATTGGCGGAGGCGGGCCACACTGTGGCGGGCAGAGCCCGCTCCCCGCCCTGGGACGCCAGCTAGGCCGGACCTTTCCGGCTCCGGGCTAATTTTCCCGGAGCGCTCTTAGGAGGGCACAAACCGGAAGTGGCCGTGCCGTGGCGGAAGGAGGTGCTTGCTGGGAGCAGCTGGTGCAGAGAGCAGCTCGGCGGGCAAAGATGATTCAGGCGATTCTGGTTTTCAACAACCACGGGAAGCCGCGGCTGGTCCGCTTCTACCAGCGTTTCGTGAGTGCGGCCCGGCTTCGCTCCGCCCCGTCTGGGCGCCCGTGTCCTCTTCCCTCTCCCATGGCCCTTGTCGCCTCCGCATCAGAGGCACAACTCACAGAGGACCTCGGGCTCCTGCATAGTCAGGGTCCTCACATTACCTGACCTCTTTGCCGGGTCCGGGCCTCTCTGTCACGACCCCTGCCCTTCTCTGACCGCCTCCTGAACCCCGAGCTTCTGTACTATTGTGTGACACTACGCCTGCGTCTCAGGCCGCCAGAGAAAGAGAAGATGGGGAGCGTGTCTGAGAATCTCAAAGTCAGTTTCTTTAATCCTTTTGGTTGACCGCAGGTTCCCGAAGAGAGAAAAAAATCGGCTTTTTTTTTTGTCTTTTTGAGACAGAGGCTCACTGTTCAGGCTGGCCTTGAACTCACCTTCTGGCCCAGGCTGGTCTCGAACTCACAACAATCCTCCTGCCTTTAGCCTCCAAAAGTGCTGGGATTACAGACCAGCACCACCACGCCCAGCTGAAAAATCAACTTTTTAATAGTGTTTTCCTTTTTTTTAAATCCAGGGAAGTCTAAAGTTTTCTTTTGGGATTATTTGCTTCAGGTGTCACTGGAACTGCCCAGAGAACGGATACCCTACATTCTGTAGGTCTAAAGACAGCTGAAAAGTGGGAAAAACACTGTAATGTGCAATTACAAATGCTGCCACGTGAGGGCTTATTAAATGTTCACATCAAACTGAATTTTCCAAAATCATTGTGTTCAGAAAAACACGTCATTACTTGGCCTCTTACCAATATTTTATTTATTCATGGCTAGGTTTCGAAATATTTAAGTGGAGATTGGATAAAACCCACGAGTGGACAGGGTCAGCAAACTTACCTTCAGGCTTCAGCTTTACCTATTCTGCTCTTGCATCTGTTGTAATAAAGCATTCCAGGAGGCCCAGGCAGGAGGATTGTAAAATCAAGCCTCAGCAATTTAGCAAGACCCAGTACCAAAGCAAAGAAGGAAAATCTCAGATTTATTTCCTGTTTTGTCAAATAGAGATGCAAAAATAATTTATTCTTAGGATTTTTCAAGGTTGGATATATTTTATTTAGTAAATTACAGGGAAGTTTAAAAAATGAGCATTCAGTATAACCAGTCTTCATTTGTGTGAAAGTTTCCCTGTTTTTCTAACAGGGTTATCGAGATATAATCCAAATACCATATATGTCACCTATTAATAGTGTGCAATTAAGTGGCATCATCACAATCTTATTTATTTTGGTTTTTGAGGCAGGGTCTCACTATGTAGTTCAGGCTGGCCTTGGACTCACTGTGTAGTCCAGGCTGGCCTCGAACTCAGTCAGTGCTGTTTCAGCCTCTGTAATCCTGCTGGGATTACAAGTGTGAGCCCCTGCACCTGGCTGACCTTATATTTTATTCCACTGTTGCTTCAACTTCCCTACTAGAATCAGAAAAAAGACTTCTGTTCAAAAAAATATTTGTGACATTTCAAAAAAGTGCAGATGCTTAGTATGTTTTGTATGTCTGAGCATACAGAATTAATGTTATACAACATCCTAACATCTGTGAGCTTTAGAGGTAAGCCAGGAAAATACTGATTGATCTACTCAAATTTATAGTGACCAGAGATTAGCAAATCTAAACTCATCCACTCAGTAAGTACACAGTCATTCCATATCCTAGTCAATGTAATTTCCCCATGTTGACATTTTCTATTTACTTTTTAATTTAATGTAATTTAATTTTGAGACATGGTTCCTATATGTAGTTCAGTCTGGACTTGAACTCACTGTGTACCACTTGTGAGTGCATCTAGAGTGTGTGACACTGTGATTGATTGATGGTACAGTGCTAAACTCAGTAGCACTAGGATTAAGGGTGTGAATGTTGTTTCCTCTAAATAGTGTGGATAAAATATAAGGGGCAGAAAGATGCTGTTAAAGTCCTACCCTTCACAAACTGTTCTTATGAAACCACCTTGCCTTAGGGCAGCTGATTATGGATGGAAACCTCTACAAATTGTGAGCTAAATAAACCATCCTTAACTTGTGGGTGTTGGGTATTTTGTCTCAGTAATGAGAGAAAAGTAGCTAAGACTGTGTAGTCCAGGCTGGTCTTGAACTGGGCTATGATCCTTTTGTGAGCCTCCCAGGTGCTGGGATTACAGGCATGCGCCATCACTCTTGGTTCTATGTTTTTGTTTTGTTTTTAATATTTGATACTTTTGGGGTTTTTGTTTTTTTTTTTGTTTTTTGGTCTTTTTGAGATAGGGTCTCACTGTGCAATTCAGATTGGCCTTGAACTCACTTTGTAGCCCAGGTTGATCTCGAACATGCAGTGATCCTTCTGCATCCTGAGTACTGAGATTACAGGCATGTGCCACCACACCTGGCTCAATATTTGATAACTTCTAATTTTTTGATAACTTTTAAGTAACTAGCCATTTAAAACCCAAATTCAGTGCTGCAGAAGGGGTTTAAAATTATGCAGAAGTATATTATGACTGTCAGGGAAAGTCCAGTCTTAATGTTTTCTTGTGTGTTGCATCTCAAAGTGTGAATCCCACACCAGCAACACCGGTGTCACCCGAGCTTGTTAAAGCTGCAGCCTCAGGATGTTACTCAGATCTACTAAATAATCTGCCCTGAACCAGCTCTCCCAGCCGACTCCCTCCTTGTACAGTAAGAGTGAGATGACTGCTGTAGAGCTTTTAATGTATGTCTTACTGTTTTTCCTTCCTATAGGAAGGAAAAACCATTTTTTACTGAAGCCATTTTTTACTGTACTTAGGAAATTCAGATGTATAAGTGGAAATCAAATGGGAGTTAGTAAGTGAACCCTTGATAACAGATTTCTTGAGTGTGTAGGAATCGAATGGTAGGTAAATTATAACTGTTGAGTTTGAAATTCTAATCTGTAAGTAGAATTTTTTCTATCTTTTTTCAGTAATACTTTGTGGGTATATTCTTATAAGCATCTTATGGATCATAGCTATCGCTAGGGATATAGCTCAGTGTCACAGCGCCTTGCTGGCAAGTGCAAGGTCCTAAGTCTGATTTGTGTGTGTGTGTGTGTGTGTTACTAGGGACTGAAACCAGGGCCTCACACATGCTAGGCAAGTGCTGTACCACTGAACCTCCTCCCTTGAATTTACTTTTTTGAAAGGTGTGTAATTACATATTGATCTTCATGAGGCTTTAGAACCACTGAGATTTATTACTTACTGGGCCAAGATGTTTTCTGGAGAGACAGAACACTTCAGGATTTGGGTGGTCTAGTTTTGCTTAGACTTTGTATGGGAGTTTGTTAATTCTCCCTGATTTAAATATTAGTTTACCCTGTTGAAAGATCAGTTTGTCTGCTGGGCATAAGTGGTGTTTGCCTGTAACCCTAGCACTTGGGAAGCTGAAGCAGGAGTGCCATGAGTTCAAGGCCCACCTGGGCCACATAGTTCAAGACCAGCGTGTAGTGAGACCCTAACTCAAACAAACAAAATAAATAAATGAATTAATAAATGAATATCAGTTTGTTTTAGCACAGTAATGGTTAGTGACCAAGATATCTCAGGAAATATACCCTACCTTAATTCTTACACCAGAGCTTTGTCCCATAGAATCACTCTATATATTTTTTTAATCTCATTTTTAAAATTAATTTTTGAGACAGTTTCACTATCTAGTTCAGGATGGACTTGAATTCAATTTGTAGTCCAGGCTGCCCTCAAACTCAGTGAGCCTCCTGCCTCAGCCTCCCAAGTGCTGGGATTACAGACATGTGCCACCGTGCCCAATTCTACTCATCGTTTTTGTTTTGTTTTTAAGATTTTTTTAGGGAGAATTTTTTTTTCTTTTTTTGGTCCCAGGAATTGAACTTACGGTCTCCCAGTTGCCAGGCAGACACTACACCGCTGAGCTACATACCGGGCCCTTGTTTCCTGCTATAGTATCCATGCTGGTCTTTAACTCCCAGACTCAAGTGATTCCTCCCCACCCCAGTCCTCTCTGTGCCACACACCCGGCCTGCCGTTTATCACTATTGCCTTTCTGAAAATTAGCACTAAATATTCAGTTTCTCTGGGTTTGAAGCATTTCTGTCCCTCTCAGTGCCCTCAATGGGGTACAGTTTCCAGACTTTCCCCACTGACTCACCTTTCTATTGTTCCTTAGCCTGAAGAAATCCAACAGCAGATCGTTCGAGAGACTTTCCATCTAGTCCTCAAGCGAGATGACAACATCTGTAATTTCTTGGAGGGAGGAAGGTAAACTGCTTCGTCTTCTCCCCCCGCATCTGTCTGCTTGTGCGTGGTCTTCAGCACTGTGGCCGCTTATGGCATACTCAGGTGTTGGGTCCTGATGCAACCTGAGCTGGTCCTTGGGACCTTGCAGGGAAAGACCTCATCCTCTTTGGGAGGCAGCTCATTGGTGTGTTGCAGGTGTCATTCTCTTAGATGTCTGCTTCTTGGGAGGATAGGCAGGTGACAAAGTAAGGTAAAGGGGTTCAGATACCTCTGCCAAACTCGGTTACCCATCACCTGATGGGTGTGGCCTGCTTTCTGACACTTAGCTGTCCCTTTTTATGGTGATCGAACCCAAGACCTCTGGCATGGTAGGCAAGTGGTCTACTGCTGACTACAGGCCCAGTCCTCATTAAGTTTTATTTTGAGACCAGGCATCACTAAGTTGCCCATGCTGGCCTCAAACTTGTGATCCTCCTGTCTCAGCCTCCTGAGTAGTTAGGATTGCAGACATGGGCTACCATGCCCAATAGGGTTCCCTTTTGCTTTTGGGTCCTTCCTCTTGAGTTGGCAAGGGTTTCTATTAGGTTTAGGCATTTAAATGTTTCCTGTCTTCCACAGTTTGATTGGTGGCTCTGACTACAAACTGATTTACCGGCACTATGCTACCCTATATTTTGTATTTTGTGTGGATTCATCAGAGAGTGAACTTGGGATCTTGGACCTCATCCAGGTATGTGTGGACAGCTAACAAAGGCAGCAACTCTTGCGTTTCCTGAGGCTTCTGAGTAAGCACCTGGCCTGTTCCTCTTACCAGTGCCTTTACTGATACTGGCAAAAGTTGTCAGATGTCCACTAGGTGGCGCTCTGGGAAAGCACTTGAGCTGCCCTGGGAGACAGTCTTGGGGATTTCTGTTTTTACCCTTTGGACCGCCTTTAGTTTTCATGTCTTTGAATTTTCTTTTAGCCATTAAACCAAATGACATTTGCACATTTATGTTTTTGGCTTATAGTTATAACTCACAGCAAACAAACTTTTTTGTTTTTTTGGTCTTTTTCGGTACCAGGGATTGAACTCACAACTGCCTGCTTGCAAGGCAGGCGCTTATGCTGCTGAGCTAAATCCCCAGCCCCTATAGCAAAGAAACTTAATTCATTAGTCTGTGAAATCTAGATATAAGTAAGTATGAGTTTTGGAAGGTTTTCTGACAATGAGAAATTGCTAAGAGATTATGTGCCCTCCTTTCACAGAAATTGAGACTCTGAAACTTTACCCATAAAATATAGTTAGGGCCGTGCATAGTGGTGCATGCTTATAATCCCAGTACTCAGGAGGCTAAGGTAGGAGGATCATAGCAAGTTTGAGACCAACCTGGGTTACAAAGTGAGCTCCAGGCCAGCCTGAACTGCATAGTGGGACCCTGTCTCAACAAGACAAAAAAAAAAAAAAAAAAAAAAAAAAAATACTGCTATACATTAGAACCTATTTATTAAAAAAAGATAGTTAAGGGGCTGGGGATTTAGCTCAGTGGCATAAGCGCCTTCCTTGCAAGCAGGCAGTCGTGAGTTCGATCCCCAGTACCGATTAAAAAAAAAAAAAAAAAATATATATATATATATATATATGAAAAAAAAGATAGTTATACTACTGATTTCTCTGAGCTCACTGCAGAGAAAGGTTTGTGCTAGTATTGTTCAGATGATTAAATGCCAATATCTTGTACTCTGAATAGCTGATTTGAAGGTAACACTATGCAATGTGTGTACCACTGTTACCCCCAATTGCTGTGTTTTGAAATTTTTGTTTTCTCTTTAAACTAAAATAAATAGAAACTGCAACATGAGGTGGGGGTGGAACACAGCATGTGCAAGGCCCCGGCTTCGGTGCCCAGTACTGAGGGAGGGAGAGGACTTGATAACTTAGTGGACATTTATTAAATAGTTAGTGTACACTGCATTGGGGAAGATCACATAGGTACAATAATAGAAACTGAGAGGTTCAACCTTTGGAAAGACAATAAAAATTAATAAATAATTGGTTTAATCTATGAAGATAAAAGTTAGAAATATAAAACATCGCTTCTAGATGATTTGCAGTTATGATAAATTAGAAAATATACTAATGAAAAGAACTCATTTACAGTAGCAAAAGATTCCATGAGATACTCAGGAGTAGCCGGGCGTGGGTGGTACAAGCCTGTAGTCCTAGCATTTGGGAGATTGAGGCAAAAGGATCATTGTGAGTTTGAGACCAGTGTGAGCTACATAGTCAGACTTTGTCCACCCCCCCCAATCCAGGAACAGATGTAAAAAAAACAATTTCCTCTAGATTCAAAAATTCAGACTCCTACTCCCAGAAACATAAGTATTCATAACTTCACACAGTAGCATGTCTCTCTCTTGAGGGCCTTCACTCTCTTTCTCTGAGTATATACTATTACATTCCTGCCAAATAAAATCCTTCTCATGCCTCTTAAAAAAATCGGGGCGTAGGGGCCAGGGATGTAGCTCAGTGGCACAGTACTTACCTGGCAAGTGCAAGGTCCTGAGTTTGATTTCTGGTACCAAAAAAAAAAGTATAAGAGCTATATACAAAGATTTAAAACTTAGCAAAAGATACAAAATAGAGCAAAATAAAGTAACATTTTTGTCTTGTTGAGAAAACATTAAAATGTCAGTGATTTATGACAGCGAAAACCCAGTCAGAATTCTAGTAAAACTGTTACTTTTATATTTTTAAATTATTTTTAAAAAGTTATTGTTATTTTTGTGAAATATATGTGTAGGAAATCCATGATACATGCTATATCATTTGAAGAATGCCAGTAAAGTGAATACCAGTTACCCATCACAGAGAGTCTGACTCACGCGTTAAGAGACTGCGCAGCGCTCCGCACACATCCCTGCTTTTGCTGTGCCTGTTAGCCTGGGGTTGGTCTTCGCTTCACTTCGCTGTATGGTTTTATGAGTGGATCAGCATCCCTAAGTGATGTTCTGCTTGGTGTGGGAAGACTACGGGTAGAGCACAAACTTAGCCCTAGAAGGAAAGGCGGTCTTTGTTACCTGCGTGTTGCACGTGTCCAGCCTGCTTTGTTTATTTGTTTTTTGGTACTGGGAATTGAACCCAGGACCTCACGCTTGCCAGGCAGGCGCTGTTCCACGAGCTAAATCCCCAGCCCTGTGTCCCGCTTTTCTCTATAGTAAGATGTACCTTTTATCATACTTCAACAACTGTAAAATCAAGATGTGATTATAACGTGATAGTTCATGATTATAATTGACAGCATGTCTTCTCAGCATATAAATAGTGGTTTGCCTTACAGTCAGTGAAAAAGCAATGATTTGTATGTTTTGAAGTAGTACCGGCTTGGCTGGTGGTCAGTGTTAGGGTGTGCTCAGCAAGCCCGAGGCACTGAGTTCAATCCTTAGCACAGGAGGAAAGAACTTATTTTTTCTAACTATTACAGTAAATGTAACTCACCTGTTTTTACCTCCTTTTGTTGAAGAAAGCTTAATGTATAATTAATTAACTTTCAAGTGAAATCCAAGCCCCCTGTCCAAGCCAGCAAGGCCTGACGTGTACTGGCTGCTTGGTCTCCATTGGACCTCACCGTATGTGCGCCTCTTCATTAACACTAGCCCTGGTGGTGGTCTTCAAAGTCAAGTACATTTTCACCTCAGTATTCGTATTTGTTTTGTCCAAGTATTTTCCGTCTGATAGCTAAAAGAAACATAAACCAGGCAGGTGTGCTGGCATGGGCTGGTAAGCAAGAAGGCTGAGGCAGGAAGATTGCAAGTTCAAGCCCGGTGTGCGTACATTCAGCGACTTAGTCTCTCTGTCTCAAAAATATTTAAAAAGGTTGGGAGTTGGAGATGTAAAGGAGCTGAGTTCTATCCTCAGAAAATGAAAAGAGAAGAAAAAATTAATTTTTTTCTAAAGAACTTCCCTGATACTAGGCAGGCACTTATGCTGCTGAGCTATGTCTGTCCCCGGCCTTGGTCACTGGTGTTTGGAAATATCTGACCACTGCATTAGTCTACTTGCTTGTGGCTCATTAGTTTTATTCCTTTGTATATATTACATTTCCCCTAGTTTATGGGTCTAAGTCCTTTTGTTTATTTATTGCAAATATTTTCTCCACCCCCATTGGTCATGTAACTTCATGTGTTTAAATCTGCCAGTCCTTTTCCTTATAGCTTCCAAGGGATAAAAGTGTCCTCCAAGCCCACAGTGGTGCCTCTCACCTGTAACCCCAGCACGCTGTTAGGCTGAAGCAGGAAGAGCACAAGCCTACAGCTTAACAACTTGGTGAGCCCTGTCTCAAAATATGAAAAGAACCGGGGACATAGCTCAGTACGAGTGCCCTGGGTTCAGTCCCCAATACTACACAAAACAGTGTTTTCAATAGTTTTTTCATTGCCCTTTTCTTTGGAAGAAGATTATTTCTATTGTTATTACCCAGCATATTTGTTCTGCGTTATGTTCTAGAGGCCAGAACTTTTACTTGTCTGTTAGTTTTGTTCTTTAGAGGCCAGATCTTCCAAAGACTACGTAACATTTCTTTCATGGGTCAGGAGATGAAAATAGCTGTACTTGGGGCCAGGGATATAGTCAGTGGTACACACGCCTGCCTGGCAAGTGTGAGGTCCCGAGCTCAATCCTGGCAAAAAAAAAAAAAAAAAGAAAGAAAGAAAGAAAGAAAAGAACTACTTGGTTAAATACAAAGGCAGGTATAAAACATAGGAGACAAAAAAAAAATCCACATACGGAGGCCAGGGATATAACTCAGCAACATACTCGACTGCCTGGCAAGCACAAGGTCATGAGTTCAATTCCTGGTACACCCCTCCAAAGAAATCCACATGCACTCATCCCTAGATATCTGCTGAGGTGATCGATCCCCGGTGTGTAAAATGGTGTAGTATCTACGTATGCTATAGCTTTCTCACATATGCTTTTTTTGGTACCAGGAATCAAATTCATGACCTTGCATTTAGCAGGCAGGTGCTTGTGCCACTGAGCTAAGTCTCCAGTCCTGTCACGTATACTTTAAATCATCTCCAGAGTGTTTTTCATACTACTACAGTATAATGACATGTAAGTGGTTGGGTACAGTACACTGTTTAAGGAAGTATTTTCAATCCAAAGCTGATCAGATCTGCTGGTATAGAACCTATGAAATCAGAGGGCTGACTGTACAAGATTTTATTCTGCTTGCAACTTTTATACGTTTCAAAAGTAGACTTCATGGACTAATAAAAACTGTCCTTTTACAGTTTGAAGGAGTTTTTTGAGCATGATTGGGGGCTGAACCCAGGGCTTTCCCACTGAGCTGTATTCCCAGCCCACATATTAGTTTTTAATTTTTGAAACAGGTCTTGCTACATTGCCCAGGCTGTGCTCATACTTGGGAGCCTCTTGTCTCAACTTCCCTGAGTCAGTGCTGAGATTTCCGGCAGGCGATAGCACACCTTGCTAGTTTAAGTTTAATTAAAGTGAATTTAACCTGATTATAATGCTAACACTTGTATCATTAGTCAGATATTTATGAAGAAATATCTTAGTTTTAATAAGTTTAATAAGTCTAATGAGTCATTGCAAATGGGCATAGAGTTGCACTGTTACCAGATTAAAAAAAGTTATAGATGCCAATGATGGTGACAGTTGCACAATGCTGTGAATGTCCTGAGTTCCACTAGGTACTTCAGAGTTGTTCAGACAATAAATTTTAT